GCCCTGGAGGAAAATTCCTTCCCGACCCCAAATATGGCGATCAGCTAAACCCTGAGCATATGGGCAAGATTCACCAGCCAGATACCCAAGAAAGAATTTTCTGTAGTAACTCAGATCCCACCCCATCTAACATCCCATCACAGGCCATTGGACCTATTTACCATGAATAGTTAAAGATCAGTTAATTGCCAAAATCCTGTTATCCCATCATACCATCTCCTCCATAAACTTATTGAGTCTAATCTTAAAGCCAGATAGGTCTTTTGCCCCCACTGCTTCCCTTGGAAGGCTATTCCAAAACTTCACTCCTCTGATGGTTAGAAACCATCATCTAATTTCAAGTCTAAACTTCCCAATGACCAGTTTATATCTATTTGTTCTTGTGTCCACATTGGTACTGAGCTTAAATAATTCCTCTCCCTCTCCGGTATTTATCCCTCTGATATATTTATAGAGAGCAATCATATCTCCCCTCAACCTTCTTTTAGTTAGGCTAAACAAACCAAGCTCCTTGAGTCTCCTTTCATAAGACAGGTTTTCCATTCCTCGGATCATCCGAGTAGCCCTTCTCTGTACCTGTTCCAGTTTGAATTCATCCTTCTTAAACATGGGAGACCAGAACTGCACACAGCATTCCAGGTAAGGTCTCACCAGTGCCTTGTATAATGGTACTAACACCTCCTTATCTCTACTGGAAACACCTCGCCTGATGCATCCCAAGACCGCATTAGGTTTTTTCACGGCCATATCACATTGGCGGCTCATAGTCATCCTGTGGTCAACCAATACTCCAAGGTCCTTCTCCTCTTCCGTTACTTCTAATTGATGCGTCCCTAGCTTATAACTAAAATTCTTGTTATTAATCCCTAAATGCATGACCTTACACTTCTCACTATTAAATTTCATCTTATTACTATTACTCCAGTTTACAAGGTCATCCAAATCTTCCTGTATGATATCCTGGTCTCTCTCTAAATTGGCAATACCTCCCAGCTTTGTATCGTCCGCAAACTTCATTAGCACACTCCCATTTTTTGTGCGGAGGTCAGTAATAAAAAGATTAAATAAGATTGGTTCCAAAACTGATCCCTGAGGAATTCCGCTGGTAACCTTCCTCCAGCCTGACAGTTCACTTTTCAGTAGGACCCGCTGTAGTCTCCCTGTTAACCAATTTCTTATCCACCTTTCAGTTTTCATATTGATCCCCATCTTTTCCAATTTAACTAATAATTCCCCATGTGGCACTGTATCAAACGCCTTACTGAAATCGAGGTAAATTAGATCCACTGCGTTTCCTTTGTCTAAAAAATCTGTTACTTTCTCAAAGAAGGAGATCAGGTTGGTTTGGCACGATCTACTTTTTGTAAAAGCATATTGTATTTTGTCCCATTTACCATTGACCTCAATGTCCTTAACTACTTTCTCCTTCAAAAGTTTTTCCAAGACCTTGCATACTACAGATGTCAAACTAACAGGCCTGTAGTTAACTGGATCACTTTTTTCCCTTTCATAAAAATAGGAACTATGTTAGCAATTCTCCAATCATACGGTACAACCCTTGAGTTTACAGATTCATTAAAAATTCTTGCTAATGGGCTTGCAATTTCGTGTGCCAATTCCTTTAATATTCTTGGATGAAGATTATCTGGGCCCCCCCCGACTTAGTCCCATTAAGCTGTTCGAGTTTCGCTTCTACCTCAGATATGGTAATATCTGCCTCCATATCCTCATTCCCATTTGTCATGGTACCATTATCCCTAAGATCCTCATTAGCCTCATTAAAGACTGAGGCAAAGTATTTGTTTAGATATTGGGCCATGCCTAGATTATCCTTAACCTCCACACCATCCTCAGTGTTTTGCGGTCCCACTTCTTTCTTTGTTTTCTTCTTATTTATATGGCTATAGAACCTTTTACTATTGGTTTTAATTCCCTTTGCAAGGTCCAACTCTACTTGACTTTTAGCCTCTCTCACTTTATCCCTACATGTTCTGACCTCAATAAGGTAGCTTTCCTTACTGATCTCTCCCATCTTCCACTCCCTGTATGCTTTCTGCTTTTTCTTAATCACCTCTCTAAGATGTTTGCTCATCCAGCTTGGTCTACAACTCCTGACTATGAATTTTTTCCCCTTTCTTGGGATGCAGGCTTCCGATAGCTTGATTTAAAGTAATCCCAGTCCTTGTCTGCCTTTAGATCCATAAATTCTTCAGTCCAATCCACTTCCCTAACTAATTTCCTTAATTTTTGAAAGTCAGCCCTTTTGAAATCAAAAACCCTAGTTGCAGATTTATTTTTGTTAATCCTTCCTTTCAGTTTGAACTGAATTAGCTCATGATCACTCGAACCAAGGTTGTCTCCTACAACCATTTCTTCGATGAGGTCCTCACTACTCACCAAAACCAAATCTAAAATGGCATCCCCTCTAGTCGGTTCAGCAACTACTTGATGAAAGAATCCAGCACCAATCACATCTAGGAACATCTGAGCCCTATTATTATTACTAGCACTCGTCCTCCAGTCTGTATCTGGGAAGTTAGTCTCCCATGATCATGCAGTTTCCATTAGTATTTACTTCATTAAAAACATTAAAGAGGGCTCTATCCATATCCAAATTAGATCCCGGCGGTCTATAGCACACCCCAAGCACTATCCCAGGGGAGGCTCTAGTAGTTTTCTTCCCCACTGTAATTTTTGTCCAGACGGACTCTGTCTTATCCAGTCCATCGCTTCTTATTTCTTTACATTCTACCTCATCATTGATATATAATGCTACTCCACCACCTTTACCTTTATTTCTGTCTTTCCTAAACAGCACATACCCTTCAATATCCATAGTCCAGTCATGAGATGTTAGTTTTCTTCCTAATAGCCATAAATATCTAGTGAATTTTCTAAAAAATGTAGTCCTATCAAGGAATGAAATTAAGAGTTAAGCAATAGTGAGCCAAAGGCATTCTCCTTTGATTAAATTATGTGTTTAGACTTCCTATGATTTGACCCAGGGCTCAAGTGCCAAGTGGAGATAGAATTCATTTTACTAGAGTGGTGACAGCATCTGTAATTTGTATTTGCCATGTGCCTAAAGCTGAGATTTGTAAATTTAAGTTACATTTTCATAAATTACTGTTCTCTCAATGCTAAGTCTAGATCAAATATTCAGTCAAAGAGCAGTGTTCCAATCTCTGTTTAATTAGTAGAGTTCCTCAGCACTCTTCCTCCAGAGCAGTGGTTCCAAAACTTGTTCCGCCGCTTGTGCAGGGAAAGCCCCTGGCGGGCTGGCCGGTTTGTTTACCTGCCGCGTCCGCAGGTTCGGCCGATCGCTGCTCCCATTGGCCTGGAGCAGCAAACTGGAGCCAGGGGGAGCCGCGATCGGCCGAACCTGTGGATGCTGCAGGTAAACAAACTGGCCCGGCCCGCCCCGCCAGGGACTTTCCCTGCACAAGCGGCAGAACAAGTTTGGGAACCACTGCTCCAGAGGATCGTAATTGCTTTCTAGCTTCCTAAAGTGAGGATCTTGTAGAAGCACTACCATGAAGGAGAAAAGAACGTGATTAATAGGAACGCTGATTCTCCAAATGTTTTGTTTCTGCAGGCGTGGTGCGCTCAGTACTTACTTCCTCCCATCTGCTTCAGAGTTTTAATAGCATTCCAGGAGGTAGAGTAGAATTGAGCAGTGTTTACAGACAGTGGAACTTCTATGTCCTCAGTTCAAGAATGCTGGATCTTAGATACAAGTGTCCCCTCATTGCCTTACTACTATAGAAGGATCCATGTCTATGTGACAGGGCACACAGTCCTAAAGTGTGGCTCCTTCAAAGGGGCATTGAAGAATAGCTGATATCTGTTAAATGCTAGTAAGTCATAGTATTAAGGAAGTGTCAGTGTGTGGTTAAAATGAAATGAAGACCTTTAAGAATGATGCAAAATGCCTTGGCAGAATGGCGCCTGGTCCTCTTTAAATATTTCCAAATGTGTATATGGAAGGTTGCAGTGTGATGGTGTGGAATGGTACTTTGGGACTTCAAACGTAGGCTTCCAGGACACCGATTAAGGAGTAATGGGATGTATGATGTCTCTTGTGGGAAAAGAGATGTAGGTGTGTGTGTCTTGTCATACAAAGCTAGTTGGGTTTTATTTAATTTTTTTTTAAATAAACACCAAAAGAACTCTTTTAATATGTTTGAATGCACAGCACGTACTGATATAGAAATCTCATAGCAATGATCTGGAGTCATACATACAGCTTCTCATTTGCATTTCTTTGCGCTAAAGAATTCTCAGTAATCAAGAGACTAGGGAGGGGTTGAAAACTCTTCTTTCCTACCTACCCTTCTCAGTTACAGACTTTGAGAGAAGTAGAGTAGCAGCAACACAACCTGGCATCATCCAAGAGGCTCTGGATGGGGAGAAAAGACACAAAGCTCTTTCATCCTTCTCTAGCTGTTGGAAAGAAGGTACCAGAAACTGAAATGAAATCTGGAGCCCTAAAGTAGGGAACAAGAAGATCACTGTGTTAGAAATACCGACATGTTCCCACTCTCCATACCTGGAGGAGTTCAGGGCTAGGCTTCTCATTAGGACCTCTCTGATGAGGCCTTTCTGTCCTTGGTATCTACCTTTTAGCTATGAGGAGAGGGTGGGCATGGAGAGAGAGTGGAACTGTTCTTTGAACTGCCTTTGGCCAGATTGGGGGCATCAGTTGCCATTCTCAGCAGTGAGGGGAAAGAGATAAAAACCTTCCTCAGTCAGGGTTAGAGGACAAAGTGGAACTCCACCAGAGCAAGCAAACTGGGAGCTGGAGAGAAAAAAACTCTTAAGATGTTGCAGCTGTCTGTAATTATTCAAAAAGAAAGGGGCAGAGAGTGGAAAATACCACCCTCCCCCGAGCCAGGAGGAGAGGAAAGAGTGAGTAGAGCTTCTACATGCACAAACTCTCTCTCTCTCTCTCTCTCTCTCTCTCATTCTTACCCTTTCAATCTCTCTCACTCTCACTTCAGCAGCCAGGAGGGAGGAGGGACAGAAGCTTTCAACCCCACCCAAGAGCCAGCAGTCTTTTTGAAGATCCAAGGGAACTGGTGCAAAGGATTCTGGGATGTGGGATGGTGAGTCACAAGAAGAAAAAGGTTGAGAAATTTCCCTCCAAAAAGCATCTGTCCTTGTTTATTTTAGCTTAAAAAAGCTGGCTCTGATTTGTGAGGTTAGGGATTTTTTAGTTTGGGATCACAGTTTGCAGGGGATTCACTGACAACTGGGGAACAAATGATCATTAATTTCTTTTGTAAACATGGAATGCTTCCGGTCCTTTTTAAAACATTCTGTTTACAGAGCAGATCACAGTTTTGTGTCCATGTAGTGTGAGTAATTCTAAAATAGTTAAATATTCTGTTAGCCACAGAGCCAGTGGCATATAACAAAGCTTTGTTCCGAAAATGTTCCAGTTACAGACAAATACTAAGCATATTTAGCAATTCACATTGTAAATACATATACCATGAAAAACATAACTACAAGGGAACTGAATTCTCACAGGATTAATATTTAAGCCTTTCACTTGTAGGGGACTGGTTTAGACCCAGAACAGGTCTGTACTAACTGAAAGCTGTTACCACTTTGACTTAAGTGAAAGTCGTGTTGTGGTCTCATTCTAGTTGCTGTAAATGCCACCATTGGGAAGGCTAGCTTTTGTAATGGCATTTAAACATTCTCCAGCACCTTTAAAGTCTGAGGGTTCTTGTGCCAGCAAAGACGCTGTCATATGTGGTACATTCATGGGCAGACTTCACAGCTCCCCAAGCTCCTTTGTCTGATGTTGGATCCCTTCTTCAACAGCAGAAATTGTCTTGTATCTAGGACATTTATTCAGCACTTCAGCACAGTCAAATTCAAACTATAGTTAAATTTGTGTAATTGAAGAAAATAAACACATAAACAAAGACATTGTTTAGCGTTAATCTGAGCTAGTCGTGGTCTCTGAAAAGCTGCGGTATCAGGTGCTTTGAGACTTGAAATCAAATGTTAAAGATTGATAGCTTTAGACCTTCTCCTTTTACAAGCGGTCCTGTTCTCCCAATCAGTGGCTCACTGCCTGTGAGTACTTATCAGCTCCCAAAGTTCAGCCATCCTCTGTCGTCTATACTTTATATAGAAATACTTTCTTTTTTCTTGGCAAAGTCAGATAGCAAAGTTTTCATAGGTGAACTGAGGCATGATGTCTCCCTTATTTATCTCCTTTTCAGTTTTTTTTCTCCATTTTGGTCACTTCAGAGGCCTCTCATCCATTTAGTAAAAGATGCCTTTTGAAGCTGTGTAAACTGTGATGCATTTAAAATTATCCCCACCCCTTTTTAGGGATGTTTGGCAAACATCTTAGTTAAAGCCAGTTTCTTTAGTAATCCAATGAAGTCTCCACCAAAAGGGATCTTCGTATACAGGAAGCCTGCAGGTTTTATGCAAGATTGCATTATAACAGCTTTCACATTGATAAAAATAGAACATTACAAGTCATAACGAAAGGTACAGTAATGGGTCATGACATTAATTAGCAGTCTTCTTGGCCGTCTCGGTAATCTAGACAGAGAGACGTCGAGGTTGAGGTACAGTGATACACAGTGATAACTTTGGGGAAGCTTGCACTGCTTTTGCCCCTGCTGTCTCTCGTCTGTGGATAAACTGGGAAATTCAGTTTTCAAGATGTTCAGTCCAGCGGCAAATATACACAGATACTTTAAAATGTAAGGATGGAGAGAACCATAAACAGCCTAACTCATGCTGGTGCTGTGCATGCAAACTCTGTCTTCAGCTGTTCTGCCCATGGCTTTTCTGCTTCAGTTGTGCCAATTACTCCGAGCTTTGAGACTTGCTAGACCTACCATGTATTTCCCCCTCAGCAATTGGCATTCAAGCTGCCTCTGCCGCCTCGGAGAATGCCACATCCTGTCTAAGTGCAAGGTCTGTGCTGGCTTCAAAAGTAGCTCTTGCAAGCTGAGAGAGGATAGGCTGCAGCTCCTTCTCATGGAGTGCTCTCTGGGATCAGCTGGGTCTGAGGCTCCCCACCCCATACATTGGCTTCAGCCGTGCTTGAAACTTTGACCTCAGCAAGTAAAGAGAATGGGGCTGCTTTGGAATTGAAGCATTCTTTGAAAAAAAGGAGACTTCCTTTCCAGAGAGAGACTCCAGGGGAAAAAGGGGAAGTCACCTCCAAGGTCAGGAATTAGGACCCTAGGAGACGTCGTGTCTTGGTGTGAGTGCTGCTGAGACTTCCATGGGCCTGGTACCAATGAACCATTACCAGTCATGAGCTCACGCTCTGAAGAGTAATCTAGAAAACATGGATTTTCTCCAAAAGTGGTACCAGAAGGGAAGCCCTCTAAATGCAAGGACTCTATACCAGAGGTGGGCAAACTTTTTGGCCTGAGGGCTGCATCTAGATATGGAAATTGTATGGCAGGGCATGAATGCTCACAAAATTAACTATTCAGAGATATTCAAATAAACTCTATTTAATAAAGATACATTTTAGTGGTAATAAACATAAAACCTTACTTACTATTATAAATATACCATCATAACAACATATTACTATAATTAAACCAAACTTAACTCCTTTCCACACCCTCTTTGATTAATGTGAACAATGTAGCTGGTCACCCTTCTTTACAATGGCATCAAAGTCCTGTGTCATTTTTGTTGTGGAAATCCGCAATACTGAGCTGAGATACTGGTCAGTTAACTGGGATCTGTAGCGAGATTTTTTGTAATTCAGCAGGGAAAATGTTTGTTTGCCCACATAGGTGGAGCCAAAGAAGGGTTTTCTGTGCCACCTTGCAGATATTTGGGAACTTTGTTTCACTCAGGGAGGCATAAACTCGTCCAGTTTTTCTGAATTATACTTTTCCTTCAAGGTGGAATCGCACTGTAGATCAAAGAGCTCCAGTTGTAATTCTTGGTTTCAGAGTAACAGCCGTGTTAGTCTGTATTCGCAAAAAGAAAAGGAGTACTTGTGGCACCTTAGAGACTAACCAATTTATCTGAGCATGAGCTTTCGTGAGCTACAGCTCACTTCATCAGATCATCAGTTGTAATTCTTGTGGGGCTTTCTTGTAGTCAAATGACAGTGGGCATGACACCAGCTCCAGTGTATTCTCTATCTTCTCAAAGTCAGAGAATCGATGAGAAAATTCTCCATAAAGTCACTCAAAATTTTGCTGTACTTTTCTGTCTGCTCTGGCGACACTTCCAAGTATTTCAGTGTTGGAAAGTGAGTGAATAGAATCATAGAATCATAGAATCATAGAATCATAGAATATAAGGGTTGGAAGGGACCCCAGAAGGTCATCTAGTCCAACCCCCTGCTCAAAGCAGGACCAATTCCCAGTTAAATCATCCCAGCCAGGGCTTTGTCAAGCCTGACCTTAAAAACCTCTAAGGAAGGAGATTCTACCACCTCCCTAGGTAACGCATTCCAGTGTTTCACTACCCTCTTAGTGAAAAAGTTTTTCCTAATATCCAATCTAAACCTCCCCCACTGTAACTTGAGACCATTACTCCTCGTTCTGTCATCTCCTACCATTGAGAACAGTCTAGAGCCATCCTCTTTGGAACCCCCTTTCAGGTAGTTGAAAACAGCTATCAAATCCCCCCTCATTCTTCTCTTCTGCAGGCTAAACAATCCCAGCTCCCTCAGCCTCTCCTCATAACTCATATGTTCCAGACCCCTAATCATTTTTGTTGCCCTTCGCTGGACTCTCTCCAATATATCCACATCCTTCTTGAAGTGTGGGGCCCAAAACTGGACACAGTACTCCAGATGAGGCCTCACCAATGTCGAATAGAGGGGAACGATCACGTCCCTCGATCTGCTCGCTATGCCCCTACTTATACATCCCAAAATGCCATTGGCCTTCTTGGCAACAAGGGCACACTGCTGACTCATATCCAGCTTCTCGTCCACTGTCACCCCTAGGTCCTTTTCCGCAGAACTGCTGCCTAGCCATTCGGTCCCTAGTCTGTAGCTGTGCATTGGGTTCTTCCGTCCTAAGTGCAGGACCCTGCACTTATCCTTATTGAACCTCATCAGATTTCTTTTGGCCCAATCCTCCAATTTGTCTAGGTCCTTCTGTATCCTATCCCTCCCCTCCAGCGTATCTACCACTCCTCCCAGTTTAGTATCATCCGCAAATTTGCTGAGAGTGCAATCCACACCATCCTCCAGATCATTTATGAAGATATTGAACAAAACCGGCCCCAGGACCGACCCTTGGGGCACACCACTTGATACCGGCTGCCAACTAGACATGGAGCCCATTGATCACTACCCGTTGAGCCCGACAAATACTTTGTCCTTAATTTGTTTTGAAAACAAGACTAACTTGGCTTTGAAAGTTGTCACACTAGAATGCAACTTGTATACAAACACATTCTTTCCTTGGAGCTTCACATTAAGTTCATTTAAATGTGCCAAGATACCCCCACTGAAAGTGAAGTTGCATACCCAGTTTGAATTCTTTAATTCAGGGAAATCATTTTCTTTTCCCTGCATCTCCAGAAAAGTGTGAATTTCATCTCTGAGCTCCCACACTTGCTGCAAGACCTTTCCTAGGCTGAGCCAGCAGACAATTGTATGATAAAGTAATTCCTGGTGTTCGGCATCAGTGTCTTCAAGAAGGGAAATGAATTGCCGATGATTAAGTCCCCTCACTCTTATGTAGTTCCCTATTTTTACTACTGTGCGAACAACATGATAGATGTCCAGGACATTTTTGCAGAGGGCTTTATATTATGTATAATACAATGCAGAAAAATCACCTCTTTATCGAGGTCGTCTTCTTTTACTTTGTCCTGAATTCTTTTTAAAAGTCCTATGTTTTTCTCAATTAAAATTAGTGATCCATCTGTGGTTACATTTGCCAGTTTACTACATGGGAGCTTCAGACATTCACAGCAGGCAGAGACCCTCTCGTATAAATCCAGTCCCTTACTTGTGCCTTTCATTGATTCCATTGATAAAAATTCTTCTGTGATTTCAAATTTGTCGTCAATTCCTCTGACAAAAATCAGTAACTTTGCTGTGTCCTTAATGTCAGTGCTGTCATTGAGAGCTAAC